AATCCGGCGATTTTGGGCCTTTTTGGTAACCTAGCCTACTCAAATGTGGCTCGTCAAAAGTGGGCCAACATTTTTGAATTGGGGAACGATCGCGGGCCTACCATTGCGAGCCCACTTTACTTTTTTATTTTTAAATTATGTGGCCCAATCTTCAGTAGCCTAGATTTACTTAGGGATGGCAACGGGGACGGGTTTGGGCGGGAGTACCCTCCCCCGCCCCCGTAACCATTTAAAAACTCCGTCCTCGTCCCCACCCAAATCGCAAAAACTGAGAAACTTTTCACCCCATCCCCGTAACCATTTAACATTTTTACCCCCGCGAGTACCTGCCCCGCTCCGTTTAAGATCACAATTTATTTATTGTTGAAATAGATTTGCTCTTTTTTTTTTTCCCTCATCTTCAATTTTTCACCATTGCAACTTTCCTTTTAATGAAATTCATTTGTTACTCTAATATTGTTATATAGGGTACTTAATATATAGTGGGAAATATATATATTAATGAAATAAGAGTACTTAAATAATTTGCTATCTAAACGGGGCGGTGCGGGGCGACCTCCCCCCGCACCCGCACCAAACTTGCACAGGTTTTTATTACATCAAACCATTCCCGCCCAAATAAGCAAAACAGTCCCCCAAAATTGCCAAAAACGGGGTGGGCGGGTAACCACGGGGGTGGGTCAAATTGCCATCCCTAGATTTACTGTAGCCCAATAATTCATTTAAGGGCATGTTTGGCTTGAAATAAATTCCAGAAATAAATTTTTATTACTTTTTTTGGCCCTTTTTTTTTTCCCTCAACATAATTGAACCAAAGAGCCATTAAGGCATTATTTGGCTGTGCCTTAACGGCTTTTTTGGGCAAAAAAAGTTTTAAAAAAATGGATTAAAGTGAATTTTTTTTTTTTTTTTTTTTTTTTTTTTTTTTGTAAATTTTCAATGTTTCTATTAACATTATAGCCGTGCACTATTTGGCTAACCCAAACAATGCCTTAACTACTATATTGGTACATAATCATATTTTTTGATTTTTTTAAAATAATTTTTTATATAGATAAATATTTTTATTTTGAAAAAAAAAAAAACTTTTCATTTTTTCTTTATAAATACATCAACCTTTTCATTTTTTCTTATAATATAGCCGTTAGAGATATAGTGGTTAGGAAAAAGTTTTTTTTAAAAAAATATATTAAAAATTTTAAAAATGTTAAAATATTTTTTGAAAACGAAAACCCACTATTGAAGCATATGCGATAGCTAAAATTTGAAGATTTCAAAACGCTGACTTGATTTTTAGAAATGCTAATAGAAAACTAACATCCATTTTCACGGATTTTTATAACTTTCCCATATGAATACACTTTCCTAAATTATTATTTATTTATTTTTTGACTTGGCAATGTTAGTGGGGTTAAGGAATTAGAGGTTAAAGGGGGAGAGAAAATGATACTAGTGGGTTTTGAACACAGGCCAAAGGCCCTAAACATTACACGTCCTATCTGTTGGGCTACCACTGCACCTGCTAAACTTTCCTAAAATTCCATCGACTAGAAAAGTCATCATTGTACTTAAGAGGAAGTACTCCCTCAGTCGCATGAATAATGATTTAAGGACCGAATTTGGTAGTTATCCCATTCAATTTATGTGAGTAGGAAGGCGGGCCTCAGCATGTGATGTTATCATAATGTCATTTGATGAGACCCACCACCCATCTCACATAAATTTAATTCAGTTATTACCGAATTCAGCCTACTACTAATTTTCTATAGACAAATGTCACACGACCAGTCACTCTTGAGACCGAGCATTTTGACACTGTGTAAATATTATCTACATACTCTTCAACACGCCTTTTCACAATTTGACCTTTCATTGAGTCAAACATTGATGAACCATGATGAAGTTTTCATATGTTCCCCAAAGAGCTTTGCTGGTTGACTTTTTAGAAAGATAGACTTTGAAAAAACAAGTCATTTGATAAGTTATTGCTAGGTGGCAGTAATTTGATTATTATTTTTTATTTTATTTTCTCTTCCACCTTTATTTTATTAGAAAGAAAAGATAATATTATTGACAATATACGAGCTACTTTCTGTGATAATGTTCATCTAGCTACTGGACCTGTCGTTTCCGAATTTTCCAAGTTGATAAATGAATATAGTTTAACCGGAGAAAGTGAGCCAGTTAATGCCAAAATTAAGACCAAGCAAGGGCCTGTTTGTATCCTTTGATTACTTAAAAAAGTTTGACATTAGGTTGTGTACATTAGTAAATTGAGAAGTTGTCCCACCGGAGACTGTAATGAAACACGCCATGGTCTTGGTGCCTATTACATTTTAGACAAATTGAAGCCAATGTCGCATCCATGAAATGCAGCCCCATCCTCCTTTAGTTTCAATTTTTAATATATTTTACTTTGCGAATATTATTATTTTTTAATATATGCTTCAATATTCGCTGTGAACAATGAAAAGTGGGAAAAAAACATATGCTAGTACTATCATTTCATTATTATTTTTAAATACAAAAAAATTATGATATTAATTTTGTTATTATCTTTTCTTTTTTTTTTCAACTCACAATACTATCATTTTCCTTACATTTTTTTCATAAATGATCGAATGCATAAATATATGCTAATATTATTTCTTATCTTTTATCTCGAAACTAATTTTATTATTATTGTTATATTTTTAAAAAAAATTATTATTATTATTTTCTTTTAGTTCAGTCAATTTTTGACTTTTTAGTTCATTCAATTTTTGACTTACCTACTAATCAAATTAGATTTAAAATTTTGTAGTAATTACTTGTCACTTTTGACTGGTGCGTGTATACATCGACATGCCTAGTTAGTGGAGTAATTTGAGACGGTTAACGAAGGAAAAGAAACCTAAGACACAGAAAATGGTTCGTTCACTGAGATGGGGCTACGTTCGAATAATCTCAGGAACCATTCTCGGAGGCGCTTTGGGCTTCTACGTCATGCACCGACTTGAGATTAGCTACAAGGTTTTCAATTCGAACTTCAAACCCTTGGTTATATATAAATATATATATGTATTCGAAGCAATTATAATTCACTGTTTTTTGGGGTTTCTGTTTCTATATATGCATATGTAATCTATGTGAACACACTTATATATGTTCAGGAGAAGTGGAATGAGAGATTGAAAAGGTATGAACAAGAATTGAAGATGAAGAAAGAGAAATCCAACGAGCTTGAAGAGTCTCTGTAATACTTGCTTTTTAATTTCATTTTGTTCATTTTGATTTTTTGAAAATTGGGTCGCGATCAGGACATTCTATAGTTTGTTTGTTTGTTTGCAGAAATTGATGCTGCATTCAAGCTAACCATTGTCATGCGAAGAAGGTACACACACAGACATATATGTATTTGATTGAGAAAGGCCTTGATTATGGGTTAAATTTAGGCATTATAGATATATAAAGTATTGAGTCCTTTTTCTTCCTTGAATATATGGAATGTAATTCTATCAAAACTAGGAATATATGCAGGGATGTAGTCAAAATTGAGGGTTCAAATAGATACCAAATGAACGAATAAGTGAACAGTTTCTTACTAAGTCCGATTATTTGCAAAGGGGAGATATTGCATATGATTTTATGTCTGTGTACTTTTAGCATATTATGTTATCAACACATACCTATGAAATTAAAAGGGTAATTCTATAAACTTGTTATTAAAAAATGATACATTAAGTAGAACTCATTGGGGATAAAATTAGAGAAAATTCAACTAGATGGTCTGGCCATGTGCAGTGAAGACCAACAATTGCACCAATAAAGAAGAGTGACATAGTCCACATTGAGGGTATCAAAATTAATAGGTAAAGTTATGGTCTTATATATATCATAATGGTGAAATAAGATTCAATTAGGGCACTACATATTTTTTCTTTTTTCTTTTTCCATCTTTTTGCTATCCAGAATTATTCTTTTGCTGAAACTTCTTGAAGCACTACACTGCTATGTTCGGTACCACCCCCCCCCCCCCCCCCCCCCCCCTCTTTTTTTTTTTCCCCAGTTAACCTTTTCTTTTTGTTTTCTTTCTTGTTGATGTTTAATGAACTATTTGTCGTAGTAGCGAACCTAGTAACCATGATGAAAAGACCCCCAAATTGGGCTTTTGTGCAAAGGAAAGAGGAACTGTGAAAATAAAACTATGGACACACATTTAATGTTGATGATGAAGACATTTCGATGCTATAATTTCTAGGATGCTTTATCCATTCAGCTTTCCATTTCAAGTGGAAAGAAGTTCAGGCTTTGTATGTTTTATGCTTTTGCTGCCTGTATAATGTTGAGAAATTATTTACCTCATGGAAGTTGCTCTAGCTCTAGTTAATTTAATGTGGAACGAAAAGGGGGTAACAGTAGAAATATAAAAAGAAGAGAAAGGAGAGAATTGCGTAAAGGCTTGAATGACACGAATTACTCATTCAAAGCTCTTTTATTTATAGATAAAAAGAGCACATGCTCATATTACAAGAAAGGAAACTAAATCAAATCACAACCTATTCTAAAGCATATTCTATAGCATAGTCAAATCTCTGCTATTATGGTAAGTCATTCCACAAATTGTGGTATCATATATGCTAACAGTAACTCTTGTATAGATTGAATTGAGAGGCGCAGAAACGAAAATACTCATATATTCAACGCATTGACAAATGGTGTTCCTATTGTTCTTGTTGAAGGATATAAATATTAAAGTTACATCCTCTCTAACAGCTTAAGCTTTTGGAGTTGATGGTTGTTAACATGGTATCAGAGCCAAAGGTCTCGAGTTCAAACCTTACTTCACCCTAATTAAAAAAAAATTGAAAAACACGTGTTAGACCAAAAGAAGGCCACACGTGAGGGGCATGTTGAAGGATTTATATATTTAACTTACACCCTCTCTAATAGCTTAAGCTTTTGAAGTAAATGGTTTTAACAGTTCTTAAAGTTGGTTATTTTGATGGTGGATACAGGCATCAGGTTTTCATTGCCAATTTGAGTAAGGAAAACTATTGCCAATGTTGGATCTCACGATGTGGTTCAGGTGAGAACAACCGATTTAGATTTATGTAAGGCAACAGGATTGGTTGTTCAAGCCCAGTATCTGCATATTTGTTGGTTACCAAATTGTTTGATTTTAACATCCTCAATCTAGTGCATTAGATCTATTTGCAACAAAAATACCGAGGTCAATGAAGCTACATATACCACATGTAATTTGATGGAAATTATTGTTGAGTATTGACCAAATACTGTGAATCGTTTAATGCGATTGGATCTTGTCAATGAACATGTGAATTTGAATATGCCTTCAGTGATGAATACATGTTCTGGTTTGATGATTCCTATGCTTAACAAACTGAAGCTCATGAGGATGGCCTTTGAAATATTGTTATTGGTAACCATTGGGCTTGTTTAAGAGAAGAAGATGTTCATAATGCAAATTTAGGATTTGTTATATACTTTTTCCTTCATGGTGTCCATACATGAAATGCCTAGCATTGTCGATTCAGGTAAGGCATGCCTCTGGTGTATGATTTGTGGGATTCAATGATCATGAAAACAGGTATAGTTTTTTATGGGCGTGGAAGGAAGAGAGAAGATGGGAAGTCAACGTTTTTGTTGGTAGTATCCAAACTCTAGTCAATCGATGGAAAAACCAACACACCACTTTGTTAAGCGATGCACTCTTTGAACCCTAGGAAAGAACTCTAGGCAACTTTTAAGCTTTACCCTATGTATGGCTATTTAAGATCACAGGCCTACTGGTCCTTTGGCCTCCAGAATGAGCCGTTTTGCCTTGGGCTCGATCCAAACACTAGGCATCTATCTCAACTATTCAAATGTGTTTTCCATATAGAACTTCCTTATTTGTTTTGGAACAGGTTCATCCAAATGCCTAGGAATTAGGGTTTACTAGGCCTGTCTAGCGTTTCCATTGTAATGGAAAAAGCGCTTTAATTATAAAAAGTACTTTTCACAATTAAAAGTACTTTTAATTTGTTGGGTAACAATATTTTTTAGAGCACTTTTATTATTACTAATATTACATAATGCTCCCTTTATGGAGTGTTCTAATATTTTATAATAGTAGGACTTTATAAAATAAGGTATAAAATTGTCTTTATAAAAAAGAAAAAGGGATAAAATTGTCAAAGAAAAACAATTACCTAAAATATAGAACCTTTACTCAAAATGCAGTCCTAAAAGCTAGTAATTTTAGCGTCATTCAAAAGCTCTATTGAGCTAAAATCTCTACCATTTAAATGTACTTTTTACGGTTACCAAATACATTCAAAAGCAATTTTTTAAATAAAAGCGCTTTTGAGTGGTTCAACAACAATCCCAAATGGACAATCTCAATCCTTTTGTTCTCCAGGGAACTTACTTTTCCCTAAAGTATGTGATCATATAAACTGGAACAATCACGTTGATTGAAATCTCATATTGGTTTTTCAATCTTAATCACATCTTTAATGTTGAATCATTCAATGAAGTGACAAGCCTATGGACCTAACAATACTTTGCAAATTTTATTACATAGTCCTATAAATATGCAAGATTTTCATTTAGAGTGCAAAAACTGATGTCCTGTTTCATTGCATATGGTTCAATGATTTGCAAACTGTTCATGTACATCACAAATATTGTAAATAAGTACTATTCTTTTCATGGAATTTGATATTGATGCAGCAGAAAGAAACAAATGAATATATATATATATATATACACACGCACACACACATATGAACCTGAATGCATTAAACTTGAAAACCTAGAATCACTTGGGTAGGGGTCCTTGAACCACAAGGGACCTTGAATCCAAAAGGAATAATAGGAGAAAATTCTCAATATTACTCAAACAGAATAAAACATTCTATTTTTCATTATATCCCTTGATATCCCAGCCAATAAATTAACGTAAGAGGAATCAAATTTAATTATTACAAGCATAACACAGCTAAAATTAGAAAATAAAAACTTGATTCCCACCCACAACAAAAGATCATTATTGTCCCTCACATTATGTTCTACATTAGACCCCTCCACTTGATAAAATCTCATCCTCAGTTTTACATTTTGGTTTTGAAATCTTCCCTTCCGTATCGAAAGATATTTTGAATACCTCAATTCCTCGAACGGCTTCGTAAACTTATTGTCATAACTTGCGTTATTTGGAATTTCTTTGCTTCAGTCTTCAACTGATTAAAAATATTTAAATCAAATCAGATTTCATAATTCTAATATAACTTGCTCCTCAGTGAATGAAAGTCAAATAATTACTTACTTGATCAAATGATTTGGAAAGTATTGACGAACTTGGTTTTCAATAATGTTAATAGAAATCGAATTTAAGCCATCAACTATTGGCTTTATGACTCTCCCCTAAATCTTCTTGTATATGATTATCACCATCATGAATAAATCTATAGAATAGTCGATTTAACCTAGTCATGCATGTTGTATGCCTATATTCTGTACATGCAAATTTTATCCTCCTCCCATACATTCAGAATTGTCATGTATATCTAGTCAAGGAAATCTTTAAATTGTAATATACGATCAAATTGTCAAAACATTTAGTGGAAAGCCCTTCTAAGAGGAAAACGTTAATAAATAAATTGACTCTGATACAAATTTCCATCATTTGTCAAACTAAGTCAATGAAGATTCTGATACAATTTGACACTGGAAGCAAAAAGAACACAAATGCTGAACCGAAATGTTCAACCAAAAATCCACAAAGAACTTTATATCTATTAAGGCAGAATAAGAGGAACTGCTAATGTAACTGAATTATGAGCATCGAAGGTTAAAAAAAATATATATATGAACATCGAAATTTTGTTTTCCCCATGGTTGCCTATTTATAGGACTTATAAAGTTGCTTAAAATCAACTTGATAAATTTGGTGAGCTATAAGGACTCATATTTAACTTTTACAAGCCTAAAATAGCTGAAGAAGAAAAATGCAAAACTGTTCGACTCTAAAAAATAACTTTGCAAAAATAACAATATATATATTCAAAATATTGTAATTGGCATACCTGCCAGCCCCCACCCACCCCTGAGAGAGAGAGCACCCCACCTTATCTTCCACTAAGGTCCATTTTTAAACCTATTCCAAATCTTTCCGTAGTTTTGGCAGAATTTTTAGCTTTAACTGGTATTTATAAGGTCTGGTAATACCTTTTCAATTAATTAAAGTTCACAGTTATTTGCGAATTGGCCAGGCTTGTTTTGTGATGTTCGGGGAAAATCTATCCAACTGAACATAGGACTGTCAAACAGACTGACTTGCACGATGAATAATATCTTTGAAATTCTCAAAGCTAAATTAAAAATATTTTTTGACATTGAATGCATGATATTCAAACTTATACCAATTTTTGTTTTTTGGTTGCAGGAAGCTCATAAAATGAACAAGAGAAGTCTTCCATATGGTCATACGTATTAGTGTACTGTTTAAAGTTCTTGCCCTTTTTAGACCGAGCAACTTTTTGCCTTGCCTTCTGAAAAACAACTTTTCTGTCTGATTACAACAGTCTCTTTATATGTGAACATCCTTCTGTGTTTCACTTTTGTTGCACAATTTATACAAATCACAACTTATCATGGTCTCGCAATTTTAAGTGCTAATATCAAACTTTTATCATGCTCAAAAATAGTTAGTAAAGGGAATGAAATAAATGCATTGCTTCCCATAGCTTCTCTATGCCCAACTTCAGGTTTGGGATGGCCGAGGTTCTGGCAGTAAAGGTGGTTTCAGTGCAGTACTATTGCATGGTGGTGGTGGTATCATGGTGGTCCTGTGGATGTGATGGCGAAGCTTATGGTCATGGAGGTGAACAGTCCAAGCACTTTGGTCATGGAGGTGAACAGTATGGCTGCATCCATAGTCCCTTCTGTCACATATGAGTCTGGACTTTAATGGTTGCATGTTTTCATTATAGCTGCAGAAATATCAGCCCCTTTTATAATAATACTATTGGTTATCACTTCTAATGTTGTAGGATAAGTTTTTGGATTTAATGAATGTTGCCTTTTTGAGTCTGTAGCTTTCATTTCTGATGATGTTACCAAGTTCTATGATGGCTTCTTTCAGTACAGCAGATTTTAGAATACAATGAGGCACTTCACTTTTACTAGGAAATTCACACACAATATGTGATTGCCTTGGGATAATAGATATAGGTTTTCACTTTTCACTTTACCTAGTGACATTGCTAGGTTTTCTCTACAGCCTCGCATTTTCAAACCATACTTTCTTAAGTTCTCCCTGGAACCTCACCTTTTCAGTTTATTTTTATTTTGATAGTAAAGGAGAGCTGATCTTGAACAGATGTACCCTCATTCTTATAGTTGTACTTCTTTTGGGTACTTCTAGGAACATCTTTATAAAATTTATTTTTCAAAAAAAAACTTTGATAGGATTGACCTAACAAAAAACACTTTGATAGGATTGGAATCCTAACATCCACGGACTCCACTAAACTAAATTCCTTTGGTATGAACTATGAAAGCTCCTAGTTGTTTCATTTTTATGATATATTGACCCCAAACAACTTAACTACCTGATCTTGTTTAATAGGCTCTGGTTTTACAACAACGATCCTCAAATTGGTTTTTGGCTCTCAATTAATGTGAAGTTGCATGTTAGGTCCCGTGGAGAGCAGAAAACTGGCCACGTCCCTGGTGTTCAAGCTCGTCTTCTTCACAAACTCGTTCCACTGACTTGTGAGTACGTAAGTTTGAGTGCTTTTCCAGAAGGTGTGTCTGAACCTCCACAGTTTCCCTTCATCATCTTGCATGCACAACAAAGCACCCTCGGAAGTTCTTGAGACATGCAACGGAAAGTGTTTCTTAGCCTCCCTCTTTGGTTATGGCTAATCTATATTGTTTTATATCGATTCGTGTCACCACCTTGTGGAAGAGCTTCTCTCGGCCTAATGCGCGTGGCCAAAATGATAGCAAATGAACCTTGCATCTTCTCCTACCATGTAACTGCCATTGCGATGGCAATTTTGCAGTTTGTAGTGCTGAGGCTGTTGATGATAGTTGTGTGGCCTAAACTTGAGCATGTCAACAGTACTGTTGGCTCTAGAGTCTGGCTTCATGAAGGCTTGCTTCGATTTATTTTCAAAGGAAAAGCCGATAAGAACTTCCTTTGAAGTAAATGGTGTTGACCCTCGGGCCTTGTAGCTTCTAATGGACCACAAGAACTTCCTTTCAAGTCTTGTGCGGGTCGAATTGTATTTGTGGATAGCTCAACCTACGGTTCAAATTTGTTCTAGGCATACTTTGCTTCTGAAACTTTTCTTCATGGCATGCGACTTACAAGCAAGGCCAGAAATTATTAATGGGGTGGGTTAATATTTTTTTTGGGATGGACTAATACTAGTAATATATATATTTTTTTGGTTGGGCCAAAATGACCTATAGTAAAAAATAAATAAATAAATAAAAAATTGGGGCGGGCTCAAAGCATACACTAACTTCCGCCCTTACAAGTATGTGTGTGAGAGATACGTTCCATATCATGCGAGTAAAAGTTGGTGACAATTATATGCGTGAATGTCCCTTCACTTTATAAATATGTTTTGAAAATTTGAAAATCTTCAACGTGAATAGTGGACAATATATATTTACACAACCAAACTTATCATGACAGAATGGTATCAAAGTCAATTTGCAGACGTCTCATGTCGTTTGGAGGAAGACATTTTTCTGTGTGAATGCTTTAAGTAATAATGTAAGAAAAAAATAAATGAATATGTAGTGCACCTCGTTCACCTACTACTTTTCACAGTGCTGGTCGATTCCCTAACTGCAGTTGAAGTACCACACTTATGTTGTCCCTTTGAGACCTCAATCCCTCACCATTTAGGTCACAAGGCGGTGTAAATCTCTTTACTAACCATCCAACCCTCACCATCTAGGTCACAAGGCGATGTACTGTAAATTACGTCTAAAATATAAATACATGTTACAAACAACTGAAGTTATATAGTGCACGCAACAGTACTCAATCGTAAATGATGTATAAAGTGAAAAAGAAGTTGGAAGAAACTGGAGTTTATTCCATGCAACTCAACAGTTATGCACGCGTTACACTTTTCACTCATAACACAACGCAGCGTACGCATGTGCAACACTTTTCCCTCATACATTTGATCTGTCCGTTTATATGGTACATGATTGCAGCCACTGGTCCAAGGTTACAATTAGCAATATAATGCAACATCCTTGAAGCAACCAACAGTTCTTCAATTATTCCTATCTGCATAGTATATATTTTTAGAAGTCAATTACTAATTGTAAAAACATGAAGAATAATCAACTGGGGGAAAAATTACATGGCAAAATTTCTAAGAAATAAACCTTGATTATAATTAATATTGTAGAACATAATTTTGATGAAATAAGAGCATCCGCAGCGGGCTCTTTAAAGCCCAAATCCAGCAAGCATTTGCACTATTGGCCCTCCAGCGGGCTAGCTAAAACAAATGGGGCCCAATAGCGATCGCGGGCCAACTTGCCGTAATCAGCGAGCCGGCCCGCGATCGGGGTAATTTTTTTTTTGTTTTTTATGGTTCCAAAACGGCGCCGTTTTGCTGCTTTGTTTTTGTCTTTTTGTGGCTGGTGTTGTAACAGTGCGCCAAACAGTGCCTTAAGATTTTTTTTATAAAAAAACCTAAAAATAGGTTATTTAGAGCTCTTTTTTTTGGAAATAAAATAAAATAAAATTCATTAAATAAAAAATATATTGTTTAGGCACTATTTATCGAAAAAAAAATTATTTGGGCCAAAAATAAATTCAAAAAGCTTTTGTTTTTTTGGTTTTTTTTCCTTAAAATTTTTATTTTATTTTATTTTATTTTTTTTTGCTTTAAATTTTAATCCTTATTTTCTTATTCCAATTCATTATTTTTAATCCTTATTTTGTAATCCTTAAAAAAAAATTATTTGGGCCAAAAATAAATTCAAAAACCTTTTGTTTTTTTTTGCTTTAAATTGTAATCCTTATTTTCTTATTCCAATTGATTATTTTTAATCCTTATTTTGTAATCCTTAAAGTTGAAATTTATTTGGGCCAAAAATAAACTCAAAAAGCCTTTGTTTTTTTTAGTTTTTTTCCTTAAAATTTGTTTTTTTTTTTTCACTTTAAATTGTAATCCTTATTTTCTTATTCCAATTCATTATTTTTAATCCTTATTTTGTAATCCTTATTTATTTGGGCCAAAAATAAATAAATAAAAACTTTTTTTTAACACTTTTTGTAAAAAAAAAAATTTTAAATTACAAATTCATTTACTTATTCTCATAGAATTTCCTAATACTTATTTTCTTATTCCAATTCATTATTTTTAATCTTAAAAAACCATTACATAATAAAAATTCTAGTACAAGAAATGTCATAACAGCTTAAAAGTAAACAAAATGCAACATAAATTAAACATCTTCATTAGCACAGTGGTTCCACAAATTTTCCTTCAAATCATTCCTCAACCGGGTATTTGTCTCTCTGTTGCGAATCTGAAGTTGGCGATAGGATATGTGTGCCGCTAAAACTGATGGGCATCAATTTAAAGTGGGAATCGGAATTACATCCTCCAGTGGCGGAGTCCATCTTCCAACATTTGCGTGACGCTCATCTTCAATGATCATATTGTGAAGGATGATGCACGTTTTCATTATGAGGCGCAAGTCATCTTTCTCCTAGTAACGCACTGATCCTTACGTTATTGCCCATTTGATCTGCAATACCCCAAAAGCCCGTTCCACATCTTGTCTTGCTGCATCTTGTCGCTGAGCAAATAATTTTTCTTTTGTAGTGGTTGGATGCGGGATGGTCTGCATCAAAGTTACCCACTTAGGGTATATACCATCAGACAGGTAATACCCCATTCTATAGTGATGTCCATTCACTACATAATTAACAGGAGGTAATTGGCCATTGATGATGCCGTTGAATACTGAGGAGTGATCCAACACATTTATATCATTGTGTGAATCCGGCATTCTGAAGAATGCATGCCAGATCCACAAATCTTGTGAGGCAACTGCTTCCAATATGAGAGTATTCTTACCAAATCGTCCCCTATGTGTGCCTTGCCACTCCAGTGGGCAATTCTTCCACTCCCAGTGCATACAGTCGATGGAACCAAGCATACCAGGAAAACCTCTCTGTTCCCCTTCTTGAAGCAGCTGCGCTATATCGGCTTCGTTGGGTCGGCGCATATACTCCTCTGCATATACAACAACAATAGCATTACAAAATACCTTCAAGTATTTAATGGCAGTGCTCTCGCCGATTTTAATATACTCATCGTAGTGATCGGTTGCACAACCATATGCGAGTATACGAACAGCAGTTGTCATCTTCTGTATAGAAGACAACCCCAAACGACCAGTCGCATCCTTTTTTTGGACAAAGTAGTCATCATAAGCTTTGACATCATTAAGGATACGAAGAAAAAGTTCTTGTCGCATCCTGAATCGCCTGTGAAAATACTCCGGTGGATATGTGCAATTCTCGTTGAAGTAGTCTTTCATTAGCTGATAGTGGCTTCCCTCTCGGTCACGATGAATGTACCGCTTCTTTTTACGGACTTGAAATACTTGCTCAACTAATTCTGACCTCACTGAATTCATAATCTCATAGAATTCGTCTTGATCCTATTGAATCAACGCCCCAAAATGATCACCTTCCGAAGAGGATGACGATGAAGATGAAGAATTAGAGTTTGCCAAAGGAAAAGCTTGTGATGACGAAGCCATTTGAATTTCAAAATTGAAAAAGATGGATGATGATATTTTGCTACATTAGAGAGAGATTAATATAGTCATGATTTTCAAATGAGCAAATGAGTTTCATTATATAAAATGAAAAATATAGCCGTTTAAAATTTAAAATTTAAAAATATAGCCGTTACAAATATAACTGTTAAAAATTCAAATTTTAAAAATATAGCCGTTACAAATATAGCCGTTTAGAAAAAGTTAAAAAATAAAATAATAATTTTAATTTATTATTATTATTTTTTTTGGAGAGCGAAAATTCGGAGAGCTTGGTGGAGTGCATGTTTTTGAAGAGTAAAAATTGTTGACGTGACTCTTAGAATTGCTGATGTGACTCTTGAAAAAGTTGATGTGGTGTTTTTGGAGAGTCAAAATTTGGAAAGACTGGTATAGATGGCCTAAGCTATCGACCCGATGGACAGGGTAATAAAACAACTGTCAACCTAGCTAGCTACTACATTCCATAAAGTTTTACCAATTAATTCTATTAAATTCAATATAAATGCTAATTATTAATTAATAAGATTATTTTGATAGTACATTCTTGCGCAATAAACCTTGCAATCCTCGTATAAGCATATGTGTGTATGATCCACGTAGATATCTATATGCTTTTGTTGGTTGGCTACTTTACAGATACACAGAGGAAAGCTCAACTTTTCAACTAACTAAAAGTCAATTAGCAAAATTATACTTTATTACTTGATCAGCCCTAATCACAGTTAATTTATCATAATTAGTCAATTTGGAGATTTTTCTTATATTTGCCTCAGTATTGAGCCATGGAGTTTTAGAAAACTCAAATTTAAAGGCCTTTTATTGTTTTTATGGCAGGATTAAGCAATATATGCTTTCTGTTTGAGATTCTATTATTAGGGGGTGTGCTTATTCACAGACCCTAACAAATTGTTATCTTTGAACCTGAAAATATTTTCTATGAAATCCAGTCAAATTCTAATTCTTTTAAAATCCCACACATTCCAAACACCTGAAATCCTATTTCAAATTCCAATTTCGGTGAAATCCTCCCATTTCCAAACACAGGGAACTCCAAGACTGCTCTTCCCACTCACAATTTAAAATCAAATAATATCATCATTTTCTTCCTTTTGTTGGATTTATCTTTTCCAGTCCCAAGTTAATTCTTTGTTTTATTCTTCCCTCCAATTACCTCAGTTTTGGTTCGTCAATTTGCCCTCCTCAAATAGTAGTAGTAGAGTAAGAGTGGAGAGAGGGATTCAAAAACTGAGAAAGCGCGGGAAGTTCGAAGAGCGAGAGAGTGAATGGACGATTCAGGAGCGATTCTCTGTCAGATCTCTTCTCTTAAGGGCATGCTAGATCAGGTACACAATATCTTGTTTAATATGCGAAAAATTATTTGTATCTGTTAGGGTTTAATGGCAAATTTAGCGTTCGTGTTGAATTTTCAGCAATCTAATCTTTTTAGGTGAATGAAGAAATCGAAGCGAATATTCAGATAACCAGAGAGATTGAATCGGAAATTGTGAAATGCGCAGAGATCGAGACTGCTTTGGCGGTTAGAGAATCAGAGTTGATGAAGATGATTTATTTCGCAGAGTTTGAGATCAATGGACTAATGGCAGTGACTGGTAAGCAAGTGTTTCGATGTTTTTCTATTGTTTTGTGTGCAACGCAGTTTAGTTGAGCTAGTGCATTTGTTGCTTTCGTTATGCATTATTTGATCATTTTTCATGCCGAGATTATTTATTTGGGAGCAGAATTAGTCAATTAGGTACAGTTCCTTGCTTACATACCAATATGAATAGAATAATCGGGCTGATTAAATGGTAGATGCTGTCTACCAAATAATAATATTAGAGAGCTTTGGCGGATGGGGATATATTTTTTGCAATTGCATCGACAGAAGAATCATCAAATTACAGGTCTCAAAGTCATGGAGGCTGAACTATCAACCTTAAATCATCAAAGGTTGGTCCATTTGCTTATGCTGGTCTGGCAAACCAATCTAACAAACGGTAAAGAAGGAACTATACTTAAGATATGTAATTAAGGCACGTGGTTCCCACCCTCTTAATCATCTCTAAGAACATTATTTTTTAGTACATGAGTTGTAGTTTCATGCATGTGGTTGACCAACTGGATTAGAAAAGGGACAGAACATGAAACTTTGGTCTGGAGGTTCTTGCCATTCTAATGATTCTGTTGCCAAATTTTGGTTGTGAAAACTCTCAATCCAATGGCTAGAAAGGTTGGTAGCTTGTTGGAGGTAGTTAATTCTTAGATATACTTTTGCCACTTTGTTCAATTTAGCCTACAAAGTAAATTACTAGTTTTTGCTTCATTGTCTGGTGGCAAGAAGTACAAATGAAACTCAATATAACTATGTCATGTTATATGCATAATTGAACTAGATTTAAAACCTTGATGACTCAGACTGAATTTAATTTGCCAATCCACATAGAACTATTTGATACTTGAATAGCCTTTTATTTTGTTTATAGATTACATGACAACATCTGGTTATTGGCTTATGAAAAAGAAAATAGGACTTGAGAATTAGTGGAATTTGAATGTTGTCCAAGTGTTTTACAGGGATGATTTTGTCAAATAGTCATGTGAATCATCCTCATGGATATCCAATACATTTTCTTTTGTATATATGTGCCTGATTGGAGCGTCACTTCTCTCTTCATATCCTATCTTATTTATCTATTTCCATTTTTTTTTATAGATGTTTCAAGATCCTCAGAAAAACTCATTGGGGAGGAGTTATGTTGTCTAAGAATGAAGCGTGATGAGATACTTAAAAGAATGAAGGACAAGCGGTACTGGCCAATATCTATTTGGAATTAGGAATAAAAACTAATATTTAAAGTGGTCCAGATCTGAGATTTTACACAGTTAACAAGACTAGTATTAATCTATAACAAATCTTTCTCTCTCTCAATCTTTTGTGTTTATTGTGCTAAATATGATGCTTTTTCTTTAATATTGGAAGGCAGTAGTCTTGTGTTTGTGTTTTGGGTGGGGGGGGGGGGGGGGGGGGGGGGAGGCAATTTCGTAAAATTTACTTTTAGCAAAAATCACATGGAATTTACCTTAGAGTTCCTCCAAGAATTTCTTATTTTGGTGTGCTAGTTGCTTAAACCTAAACAAGGAGACTTTATTATTTTCTTTTATATATATATAAAAAAAAAACAAAAAAAAAAAAAAAAAAATTTGAAGTTACTTTTTAGTATAGTCTAAAAATTGTTCATTATATAGTCTAACATGTGTCAGATGTCATATTTTGTGTCCCAACTTTCAAGTATGCTTGAGGTTGAGCTTTTCTGCCCCTGAACTTCTCCAAGTGCAGCAAATTAGCTATTGTTCCATCTTGAGTTTGCATGTCTGTTGACCTCTATGTTACCATCTGATGAAGTTTCCCAAAAATACTTGGCGACTTTTCTAATGTTTCTTATTATTCCTTGAACTTTATTATCCTTTTTCCCAAATAAGAATTTTTATTATATATGCCTTACTGGAAAGAGTTATAATTCTTATTAAACTAAAAATTAACATTCTAGTTTTAAAACTTAATTTAATTTATACACTAAACTGAATGAATTGTTTTCTACAGGGAAGGGTTTACAACATCATGCCTAGACTTTCAGAGGAACATTGACAAGGGAGAAAATGATGAACTGGGGACCTTGTTGTCAGAGAAAGAGTCTCTCGAAAATGAAGTTCTTCTTTTGAATAAGAAAAATCATGCTTTGCAAAATTCAATGAAGGCATTTGTGGAGGAGATTCTTGAAGATCTCCGTAGTTCAAACTCTGGTAATATTGTTTTTTCTTATTATTGTACAATTACTATTTTATTATCAATAACTATTAGTGAGGGTGAACCATGGTGCAATGGTAAGGTTGCTCCATTGTAACCCAGAGATTACGGGTTCAAGATGGAAAACAACCTATCCACATGCAAAGGTATGGTTGTGTACATCAAACCCTCCCAAGACTCCGCAATGGCAGGAGCCTCATGCATTGGGCCAGCCCTAAAGACTTATTAGTGACATGTTTAGCAATTCTGCAATAATGGACACGATATTTGCTATTTCATTCTTATCCTTTAGACTTTAGTTCATGTACATTGGCATTGTTTTACCTGATAACTATCTTGGGAGCATTTTAGTGCAATGACCTTTTTTCATGTTGTACAATCATCATCATCTCTTCTATGTGTAGAAGTGAAGTTTCTTTTTCCATCATCTAAGCATGGATATAAACACATGATACGAACATGAATAATAGTGTTACAACACCACATGGACAGATTGATGCAACAGAAACGGCAAGGACACAACAATAAATTATAAATTTATATATGATTACAACTGACAAATAAAAACGCATAAAAAAAAATATATATGACATACATCTGACTGTCTGATTTGTGTATGTATGTAGGTATATATATATATATATGTACATTGTACACATAATATGGTAACTTGTCTCCTACTCCCATGTTGATTCCTTAAATTTTCATTTTGTTTTTTAAAAATAGTTAAGTTTTTTTGCTAAAATTCATGTAAACATTTAATAGGTTTTTCTCACATATCTATTTTTCATGCTAAGTGAAAGTCTTATACAAGTTTAAGGTTCATTTGTCACATGTTAGCACATGTCTAAGAAGTCTCAATCATGTTTCCAAAATTAATAATTTTATCTTAAAAATTATGAGCACGCCCAAGATGTGTTGAGGACATGTCCAGGAGCGTCTGATTAGTGTTGGTGTCTGACATTTACACTGCTTTTTCTTGCAAGTGCCCATGCTTCTTAAAAATCTCATGCTAGTTAGATGACAAGATCTTCATCTAAAATTTGTTTTTCTTCCTAATCCTGTTTGGATCACTTGTTATGATGTGGAATACTGGTGTTTTTTTGTTTTGGTCTTGGGTGTTAAGATAGCAGATGTAATCTTACGTTGCCTTAATATAGTGGTGCTTTGTTACTTTTCAAAAAAAAATATAGTGGTGCTTTGTTTGGAACCTGTTATTAATTCTATGATCTGTTGTGAGTTGTTGTAAAATGCAGCTTTACATGTTGAGATACAGTATGGGAATCTTGAGAATCAGAAGTTGATCGAGGATATCAATGAGTTGAAGAGTACATTGCTTTCAGCGATATCAATTTGATAACCTGTTGTAAATCTTTTATCTTTTCTGCGATTGACTTTTATCTTTAAAATCATTTTTTAGGCTGAAGTGACCTCATTCATTTTTTGCAAAACCTTGTTTTTTGTTTTTTTTTCTTTTTCTGTTTTTGTTATTGTTATTGTTATTGAAATATCATCTCCATCATAGCCAATGTGTTACAGAAATATTGATATATCTTCAAACTTATAATGCGTATACATGTGTGTGTGTGTGTGTGTGTATTTAACATCATTCTGTCGATGCTAAACATGAATAATGTATTATTTGCAAAAGGGCCTATTACTTGGTGCAACAGTAAATGCTTAGGTGAAGTGATAGAACACTTGTTTTGAAATTTTTTTTTTCCTTGGGGAGGGGGAATTATGAGAGTATGACAAAGGCTAGATCTATGATCTAACTACCCTTCACCACACTTCATATAAGCATGAGCAGCACCAGGTAAAGGCTCCTTCCTTACTATTGGTATCATTTATAGCTCTTATGTTTTCAAGACTTCAGAAACAACTTAATGACATACAATTGTTGAGTTTCAAAGATGATGCAGTCAAAAGTCTAAAAAGTATATATATATATATATATATATATATTTTCATTGGCTAGTCTAAAAGATTTTATTGTAATAATTACATTGAGTTCTAAAATTACTATACTCATTAGATTAGTACAAGCACAAAGTGAAGGTATGTTCTTGAAATTCCAGGATAAAATTACCAAAACACCCTTTACCTTAAGCATTATTGTCTGAACTTTGAAATTAGGCTGTTATTTATAAGTATTCTTAATCAGATGTCTGCATCAGTTTCCTGTTGCAAATGACTCATCTCGTTCATCATTGTCACTTCAATTGTTGTTTAAACTTCTGCATTTTAACTTGTCTGCCTTTCTCATTTCAATCTTTTCATCTTTCCTTTGGTTAAACTTGAATTATATCACCTATAGGAAAGATTTAGAACTTTAAATAGATTTGCTTGTCTCATTGACAAGTCTATAATGCTACATTTTCACAAGATTCCATCTTCAACAGTATTCTTGTATGGAGCACAAAATTAATGGATTGCCTAATCATATATTAATCTTAATACCAACTAATTGATTGCTCACCTTGATTTCAATAATCAAATGAATTTCTGTTTCAATATATGCATACTTTTGCTTCTAGTAATCATTTTCAGACTTTTATTTTATTTTATTTTATCAAAAACAGTTCTAGTTTGGTTCCCAAGAGTAACAAAGTTGGAAGTTTTAATGTTGATTGGCATGCAGTCCTCATTGAGTTTCAGATTTTAACATCAAAAGCTTCTTCAATAGGACATCACTTGTAAGATGGAGCCAATAGGCATTTATATATTTTGTCGTGTTGAGAGCAACTATTCAGATTACTGATCGTACACTGTTCTTGAAGTATAGTTTTGAAATTGTTCTTAGACGAGATTTCCTAATCTTTCTTTTATCATTGAAGATGCTAATTAACGTACTTTCAAAATTTTGTCCTTGACATTTCATTAGTATCTGCTGGTGGCTCTGGCTGAAAATGCATGTGCTTGTTGGAGCCCCTTGCTCTTAAGTGAATTGTTCATGATCATCTATTGAATTTTTTGGCCAACCCTTGTTCTATGTAGTCTCTATCACCATTTTATTAAATTTTCTGGTCATAATATCCACAATACGAATAATAAAGATTTTGATTTTAATATAGTTTTTTCAGGCTCTTAAATTATGGGTATCTCTGTTACTTGGGGAGAGACTTGTTTACTGGGTAAGTTTTCCTGGCGGGAGTGGGACTGTGGGAGGACCTTAAAACTTTACAGTTTTATTCCCTGGAGTTGTGTCAGAGTTTGATCTAACTTCCTATGATTTCATTTTCGGATGCAACACTTTTAACACCCTTACCTCTCACAATGACCTTTTTAACTGACAAGACAGTTAATATCAAAGTATGATTAGACTATTATTTCTACCTTCCTTTTATGTGAATGTTTTTCAAAAATATAAATAAAAAATTAATTTCAAGTGTGAAAAGGTTTTATTCTTTTCTCAATAATACTTTACATAACTCATTCTTATATAACTGACTGGTAGATTTAGAAAGAGATAATAAATTTCATTCATTTTTCTCTTTTCATTATTCTAGAATTTTTGTTGTGTTCATCACTTCATTTTTTTGCACAGATCACCAGGAAAGTTATTATGCTTGCACATTATTATCTTTCCACCGTAGAAAGTATTCTTATAATATATATATATATATATATTTTGCTTTCAATGATGTTAGAATGGCCTTTCATAACTGATAATAAACAACTGAAATAGTGTTTATGATGTAGATTAGACATTTCCATGCATTAAAGCTCAATTGTTAGATTTATCAGATTCATTAATTGGATTAAAATTACTGTTCTTTGGAGAGGGATGATTTTACTCAGAAATTTTCACTGCTACTGTCATAAATGGTTAAAAAGTTACACAAACCCAACGAATGACTCATTGATTAGAGGTTTCTAGGAAGATACATTGTTAATTTAGTGATTATCTAAGGAAGTGTATAATTGAAATCTGACCGAACATTCTGGTCAAACTATTTTTATTTAGGAAGATTGGCCATGAGGGCCATATCAGTTGGAAAATTCTGTGAGCCTAGTTTTAACCCAAAAAGTGTACAGTTGTCTGAATTATTCAACAACAGAGTACCGACATTGACTTTGAACATTTTGCAGAAATAGTAGTTATAATTTGTAAATCCGTAGACAAAGTGAGAAATTTTATTCAAGACAGAGGCGGCAGGTGCACGTCAACTAACCGATGACTTGCCTGTCATGTAGATGCCCTGTGAATAATGTTGATGCGGTGCCATGCAGCATTAGTATCATGTCACATGAGTGCTTCCATGAACACTGACACATTTAATGGGATAACGAATGCATTCACATATGCCTTTTTTATTTCGTCCTATTATTGTTTAGATGTTCTATGCACTTAAAGCTAGATTGGATTCGTAGCTGTTTTGCATTATAAAGATGGAAAGAATTGAGATAAGAGTAGTTAGTAGTCCGGGGTAGAGGATGTGACAGAAAGCAACTTCATATAATGAATTAAGATCCTCTTCGTTTACACGTGGTTTGTGTCACGAGAGTTGCAATTCGATGTTACATGTTACGTTGGTGACGCATTCTTGAATTAAATCTTTGTTTACATTAGTGTTGTGAGTGTTACAATCTTCTATTTGAAGTGCACTGTAGCATGTAATGCGCTGGCAAAGATCCGGCCCGCCCTCAGTTAATAAGAGAATGGCATCAGTCAGCAGACCTAAGAGATGATGTTTTAACAAGAAGAAGGTTGTGGCTTAGAAGAACCCAATAAACTTAGGTTGCCTTCCATTCCACAGACAGTAACCATGTCTGACTTGCGATCGTCACGTGTACACATGACCCACTTTCTACCTTAGAGTCGGGTCTTGTCCATTGTATCACAATGCAAACTCAGCATGGGGACCTCTCTTTATCTAATACAGTTCTTTAGTTCAAATGAGTCATCACATCTTCTGGGTGTCTCACACCTATAATCCACTCAATCTAATCTATGGTCTGACCACCCAAATTATCAAGCAATTATGATTAAACCAAGCATCATTTATTTTCTTCATTGCTGTGAAAATGGACGGACTTTCTTTTAGCTATTTATACAGCAATCATAGCTGATTTTATGCCAATCTGAGTTATACTTGATAATAGGTTAAGATTTTGCGTATTTTCACTGATACGTGATGTTGTTGAATCACAAATGCACCAATAATATAAAAAATCAAATAAAGTGATTAAATTTATTCAATTTTTTTTTTTTTTGTTCTTATTTATCATCTTCCTTGACCATATTCATCTATCAAAGTTTTTTTTTTAAAAATTTATTTTACTACTATTTTTGTTTTGGAAGAGTTGAATTTTTTATTTATTTATTTTTTTTCTTTAGTTGATTCTCACACATATGTAATTTGAGCTCCCCTCTCTTTAAGAAGTAAAAAATTGATAGTTAAACTCTAATTATCTTGTTATTATTAAATCAGCATTACTTATTCACCAGTGGTCACTGTAGTGCCATCTAATTGATTTGAAAGTGCTTCTATAAGTACATGTGATGTTTTGACAGACTATGTTTAGGTGTGAGAAATAATGCCTCGTGCATGTGTGTGGGTTGTGTGATGCGCGCGCGTGCACGAGAGAGAAATTGGGGATTTGATTGTATGTCCCACATATGGGTCTTTCCTAGCCGACCCAGGTGAGGTTGAACCATAAACCTTATCTTCTCCTAGAAGAAGGCCCATTCCATGCAAATTCAATCATTCTCTGTGCATCCAAAACCATATAAAGTCGATATAAAGAGAGCAGAAGAAAAAAAGTATGCAAAAATTATTGAAGAGGAGATGAAGATGAAAAGTGCTACCAATGAAGGCTCTAAAAGAAGGTTTCAATGTAAAGGTCTAGGAGGGTACCTCAAAGAGCAAAGAGGTAGGATCTACATAATAAGAAGATGTGTTGTTATGCTTCTCTGCTGGCATGACTGAATTTGGTGGCTTTGGACTTGTGCAATTTGCAAGCTGCTCCTCTTTTTTTTTTTCTTTTTTTTTTTTTTCTGGAGTACATACAGAAAATGCCGGGATCGAGAATTTTTCTTTTCTTTTCTTTCGTTTTTGTTACTCAAGCTCTTGATTTTCCTTTTTATTCAAAAGCTTGGAATATAATTACAAGTCCAGTATATTATCCATTAACAGGCTACCAGTGTTTGAAAAGAACAGAATTCTTGACATATGTGATGATGATGAAGAATTCTTGACATGTATAGTATTTTCAACATGAGAAGAAAGTTGTTGACTTTCAAATGATAGAAGATAGCTCCTTTTTGTTTTTGTTCTTTCCAGATGCATTATTTTTATTTTGTGGCATCTATGGTTGCAAAAATTTAAACCGGGAAAAAGAAAAAAATATATTTAATATCCTCTCTCTCTCAGGCAATTTGACCCTACGAGACTCTCACCACTAGAGTTTGAAATAGAGTTTTATTGATTTTAATTTTGAATCCGCATTTCAAAGGGGCCAGATTTGGATCTTCATTGAAAGAGTCATCACAAACTCGGATTCGTCACAAATTCGTGTTAGGTATGCGTCTAGATAATTCTTAATTGGCTTGGGTTTTGCTCAATAACAGTACTCAGTTTAAGTATATTTTAGGGTAAAATGCTAAAAAAAACACAACTAATCCCTAAACTACTAAAAATGTAAGAATCCCCTGAATTATGCAAAAAATTTGCAGATCATCCCATCCAGCTACCGGCCATCCAAAAATGAGCGCGTGATTCTCAGGCGACAGACGAACTAAATTTTTTGGACAATAATGCCCTTCCATATATGAAAATGCCAAATTGTCCTACAACAACCGCCACCACTGTCTGCAACCACCATCACCGTTTGTCGACCATTACCAATGTTTGCAACCACCAACATAACCACCACAAAACACAAATAATTCACGCCTAAACACACCGTTAAACCAAATCAAACCCACCACCATCACTACCACCTCCATTGGCATCTCAACGGGACACCATCAAACCCAATCGAACCAGTACACAAACCCACTGTCACCACCAACCACCGCCCAACCTTCTCTCCATCAACTTTGAAACTCAAATAATTCATACTAAAATCACATACCGTGAAACCCAATCGAAATCCCACAAACCCACTGCCACCACCCTAATCCCACCGCCACCATCACCAGCCACGGCCCAACCTTCTCTCCATCAACTTCAAAGCTTAAATAATTCATACTAAAATCACACACCATGAAACCCAATCGAAACCCCACAAACCCATTGCCACCTCACACATATAATATACACACACAAACACACACATATATCCTCTGGTGCCGCCGCCGGTGTATCGTGCTTGATCGAGGAGGAATTGGATAGCTGCCTCCACTGATATTCAAACCCCTGACTTTCCTTTGGGAAATAGGAGCCTTGTATCGCTAGACCACATGCCTGTTGATGAATTGGACGATGAAGATCATCTTTCTTAATCAAATTCTCAACAGTCTTTTGCCTAGCTTCTCGCGATGTGAGTTTTCTTGCTTTGAACTCGATCATCTCAGTCAAATCTGAATTCTAGAACATTGCTCTTATAAGAAAATATTCATTGGAACAGCACCGTGGAAGAATCAGTGGAATTTCTTTCTGTATTTCCAAAGTTCTATACCATAGAGATAGATTAGCCAACATTCGTGGAGGTGAAGCCATATGGTATATACACACAGACATATATATATATATATATTATACGGATTTTTAAGTAAAAATGAGTTTAGGGATCCATATTTACACATCCATTGAGTCGAAGTCACGTAATTTCAAAAAAATGTGTTTGCAGTTTGGCAGATGAATTTTTACTGTTTAACATTTCTGTTAACTAAAATACCCTTCTCCCTATTTTCTGTATTCCTTAAAATACCCTTTTTTTTTTTTCTTTTTTTTTTTCCATATTTTAATACATTGACCTAATTGCAGCCGGCCGTAATGCTCTTTCTGATTCCTGTTCATGCAAACCTCTCTCTCTCCCCCTCTCTGTAAAACCTCTATCAGCTCAGCCCTAACCATATGATGACTTTCATCACCCTCCCTCTCTCCCCCTGTCTGTAACAACTATCATGCAGAGCCCTCTCTCTCCCCCCCTCTCTCTAACATCCATTTAAGCATAGCCGTAACCCTCTTTTGTGCGCCCTCTATCTCCCCGTCTCTGTAACCCAGCGTAGCAGCATCCCCACTTCTCCACTTCTTTTGGGTGGATCTCCCCCTTCGTTTGGGTCGTTGTGCTTCTGTGAACTGGTAAGTACTCCTCTCTCTCTCTCTCTCACACACACACACCCGTTTTGGGTGGATCTCCCCCTACACGTTTTGAGCACCTTTTAGTTTCAGTAATTTGCTCAATTGATTGTAGTTTCAGTAGTTTCAGAGTTTACAATTTAAGGTAATTTACATGTGTCAATTGGTACCAAATTTATATCATAAAGATTTTTCAAAATTACTTCAAACTATAGCTCCATTGAATTAAGATTTTAGACATTATAGATAACACACACAAACACACAGAAGAAATGTTTTCAATTGTGGAAAAAAGTCACATTTGCAGAAGCGATTCTTTGTTGCTTATGGCTAATGGTAGTAAATGTACGAATTCAAGTTTGCAAACATGACATGTTAACATTTCACTTTTTTTCTAATATGAATCTCTCTATATTTGGTCAGAAGTTATGATTGATTCTGAAAATTTTCAATGGATGTATAAAGCTCCATGTGCAATGTTTTCTTAAAGCCTTTTATTTGTTTAATTTTCTTCTTCTTTAGCTAGAGGATGCGCTTGCCCTACTGGGTTATTAACTTTCTTATATAACTTGGTATATGCTTGCGTGTTTGCTTGATTGGTTTTCTAGCTTGGATTGTTCAGGGTAGTAAAATAAATTTGGGTTTAAATTCATGGTAAATGGTTACAACCTCACATAATTTTGTGGGTCAGTCCCTGGTGTTCCCTAGGTCTGTAAGGTGGTGAAATTTTTGAAATTGAGATTGGACGTGGTAGATGTACAACATGGGGCTTGGGATTGTTCTGGGAACGTTTTTTAAGAAGGTGATAAATTGAAAGCCATGGCAGCCTGCATTTCTTCCTAAGCCATTTTCTAAGACTCATGCTTAAATACCATGTACAGAGGTCTTTCATTGATCATATGGCTATAGTAGCTCTATCTCCTGAATTTCAAATGCATATATAATTTTAATATAGCATACCAACTAAAAGCATAAATATTAAATTCTTTTCCATGACAAATCAGGTTACAAATGATGATAAAAACCACTATTTCCATCTGATTGGAATTTAAGAATCACAACAATCTCTTTTGATTTTAGCAACGAGTAAATATCATGTTGTTTAAAGAGCAAAGAAATCAAATTAAACTAGTTGATAAGAGTTTGTATGTCTTCTGGATAGTGAACCCCAATGTTCATTGTTTAGGGTATGTAATAAGTAAGCTTTTTGAGACATGAAATGCACTGATTCAGTTAAATTTGTAATCTTATGTATCAAATTAAACTCTGAGTTATGTATTTATAAATATGTTTGTTCTTCTTTTGACATTGATGAATTAATTAGTTGGTGCACACATGTAATAGAATATGAAGCTGAGAAATTTGAGATATGTATAAATGTGATATTTTGTAGGATAATACTGAGGATATTTATTGGATAATGTTGATCGAGGATATTTTGTAGGATAATGATGATGAAGTTCCTCCAATTAACCAGTTTAAGCTAAATTTAGTTTTGAAAAAATCACAGAACATGCATTTATGTCATTATATAAGTTAAATCATAAGCATCTGTATAACTGGTTTTTTGCTGGTGCAAAGTCCAGTGGTATTGGTTTAGAGACATGTTGAAAGAACTTAAACAATGAAAAATTAAGACCCATCAAACCAAATTTCACTTGTACAATTTACGAGATCATCAAACCATCATATCCAAGAACATATGTTATGAGCAAATTTCCCAACCTTTTACTCTTGTACCATAAATTGACGGAGAGTATAATTTAGAGAAGTGCCCTTCGACACAGGATAAGACTAGAAAAGTAGAAATGCAAAGCACATAAAAGTAAGTTCCCCCTTTTATTACGTGATAGGAAGCAATTAAATACTTATTTCAATCTTTTTTCCAAAGGATTCTCTTCATTACATCATTGTTCCATTGTTGCCTATCCTTTACCTGCTAAACTTATTATGTGATATAATTTGGCTTCCCAACTCTTTCCCAAATGATATTGATGTTCAGACTATTTCTACTTGATAAAATAATAAGATCTCAAATCAATCCTTTAAAGTTTTACAAACACGTCCTATTGTATATTCTGATATATGATACTTGGCACCCACTCAGTTGATATAAAAATTAAATCTTTTATGAATTGGAGAATGAATAGAAAGAACTTTGGAACGGATAGGACAGTGTTAAAAGATTTTGTACTTTAGATTTGAATTAAGGAATGGACAAGGGAAATGGTAAAGTGCAGTACAGTGATCTCACAATTAACAATGGAAATTTCTTAAAAGTAGAACCAAAGCCATTGACTAAATTTTCTCATCAGAGGCAAAAGCCCTACTTTTAAATTTTCTCATTGAGCTGAAATGATGGCAGCTTTCAGAATCCTAAACAGTGCAAGGAAAGATAAACAATATATATATTGTTTAGGACGTGTATTTTTTTTTTTTTTTTTTTTTTTCAGATTTTCCATTTTGTGGGTGAAGCAGTTGTTTTCTAGTGGGTAGAAATCATAAACAATATATATATATATATATATATATATTGTGTTGTATGTAGTGAATGTTTCTGTCACTAGATTTGGTTTCAACTTTATTGAGAAGTCTGCACTGTAATACTTGCTGTTTTTCTGGTTCTATTGTTTCATGGACAATTGCTAGAATATAAACTGATTTGGACAGATTTATAACACTTACAAGAACTGGGTGAAATACTTTTGACCTTAGAAGTCTATTAAAGGGTTTTTGGCTGCACAAAATAGATTTTAGTTTGGACTTATAATTATGTGAAACTCGAATTTAATGGGTCCAACTTACTTCTTTTTTTCTTTTTATTTTTTTCTTTCTTTCTTGACAACCTGTAGTCTTTTCTATATAAGATAGCTGGACTAATGATTGTTTTAGTTTTATAGTAGAATTTCCCTTTTAGTCTGTTTGGTAATTTTCTCACTAACTCCAATTCGAATTTAATAGATTTTAGTTTGAAATTATAATAATGTGAAATTCAAATTTAATTAGCTAGCGTTCATATATTAAATGTACTATTATTTGTGAAGTGTGAACCCCTTTACTTTTCCATCTTTCATTAATGAAGGTGACATTATATAATAAGTTGATGATCATTTTTTTTAAAAGAAGAAATGTATTTCTCTTGTAATTATATTGCTAGAATTTCTGTATGGTTAAAGGTTTTCTTGGCTTGTGAATCTCAATTGTTGACAATTATTAGGAAATTTTTTTATATATATTTAGTTTTTTTTTTTATTTTTATAATTGATATATATTCTTTTTTTTTTTGTGTGTGTTTAGGCAGTTACATGGACAAGTCTTGGATTCATCACACTAGGGGTAGTGTAAAGTATTTTGATGGCATACACCACTTCATTGATGCGGCTAGAGATGTTGAGAATGATGATGGAAATGACATTCAATATAGTTCAGATGAGGAACCAGAATTACTGTCCGAAGATGATACTGATTTGGCTGATATGTGAAGCTTTGAATTCTTGAGCATGTACCATGGTTCCACCAACAACAGTCTCCATCAAATTCCTAGTAGGAGCAGTTTCCGCCACCAACAAGGTGGCAATATCAGCAGCCGCCACCAACATGGTGGCAATATCAACACCACCAGCAAGCGCCACCACAACCACCACCATGATGACTAATGCGATAAAGAGATAAATTTTTTGGTACACAAATTTTAGAGCTTTTTGATGATCAACTAGTTGATTTCTAAACTCTTTATCATTTTTGGGTTGTATTTTAATGACTTTGCATCTAGTTTGAAGAGGATGGGAACCATTTTTTTGTGCTAGCAGATGGTTTTAGTTTTTGTTTAGAAAACTGGATATTTTATTGATCTTGAATGTTACATGTATCCGGAATAGTTAAACTCACAAATCAATTAAGTATAAAAAATAAAAATAAAATAAAGTATTAGGGACAGTTTATCCATCCCTAATACAATAATTATAATTAAAAAAATAATGTATTAGGGATAGTCCAATCGTCCTTAATACAATAATTATAAGGTTAAAGCCCTAACCCTAATTTCGACAGCACTTACATTAATTTGTGGAGGTAAGTTCCTATTTTGTAAGAATCGAGGGCACCTTCTAAAGGTTTATTTGGGTTCTAGGTACTATTTCATTACGGAACTGGCTTAAAAACAGCTTCTTTACCTATCAAATAGAGAATAATTGTGTTTACGATATATTGTAAAAAAAAAAAAAAAAAAAAAAAAAAAAAAAAAAAAAAAAAAAAAAAAAAAAAAAAATTAGCAAATAAGCAATGTTCCAAGTGATTTTGGAGTATATTTTGTACTATTCATTCCCTCAAGTTAGCAAAATTGGAATATAGTTTATACTCTTTATGGCACTAATGGATTTATTTGTGGATGTAATAAGCAACATGAATACCATTTTCAATTGCAAAAATAAGTCAATTTTATAAAAGTACTACTTTTTTTCCATAGGTACCACTTTTTTGAACTGTAAGTGCCATTTTTTTTGGCCTCTAGGTACCATGTTTCGTAAACACTCGCTTAGCTAGCTTGGAAAATATTTTGTGTTATTTATGGCGCTAATGGAGCTGTTTATGGATGTAATGTGCAACCTAATTAATGGTGTGGGGTTTAATACCATTTTCAATTGCAAAAATAAGTCCTTTTTTTTACGAAGGTACCACTTTTGTTCCATAGATACCACGTTTTTGAACTGAAGGTACCACTTTTTGTCCTCCAGGTATCATGTTTTGTAAACACTCGCTTAGCTAGTTTAGATAATATTTTGTGTTATTTATGGCGCTAATGGAGCTGTTTATGGATGTAATATGCAACTTAATTAGCGGTGTGAGGTTTAATACCATTTTCAATTAAAAAAATAAGTCCCTTTTTACGAAGGTACCACTTTTGTTCCATAGGTACCACGTTTTTTAACTGAAGGTACCACTTTTTGGCCTTCAGGTACCATGTTTCGTAAACATTCGCTTAGCTAGCTTAGAGAATATTTTTGTATTATTTATGGCGCTAATGGAGCTATTTATGGATGTAATGTGCAACCTAATTAGTGGTGTAAGGTTTAAAACCATTTTCAATTACAAAAATAAATCCTTTTTTACGAAGGTACCACTTTTGTTTTATAGGTATTACGTTTTTTAACTGAAGATACCACTTTTTGGCCTCCAAGTACCATGTTTCGTAAACACTCGCTTAGCTAGCTTGGAGAATATTTTTGTATTATTTATGGCGGTAATGGAGCTGTTTATGGATGTAATGTGCAACCTAATTAGCAGTGTGGGGTTTAATACCATTTTCAATTGCAAAAATAAGTTCCTTTTACGAAGGTACCACTTTTGTTCCATAGGTACCACGTTTTTGAACTGAATGTACCATTTTTTGTCCTCTAGGTACCATGTTTCTTAAACATTCGCTTAGCTAGCTTAGAGAAGATTTTGTGTTATTTATGGCGCTAATGGAGCAGTTTATGGATGTAATGTGCAACCTAATTTGTCCCTTTTGTGAAGGTACCACTTTTGTTCCATATTTACCACGTTTTTGAATTGAAGGTACCACTTTTTGGCCTCCAGGTACCATGTTTCGTAAACACTTGCTTAGCTAGCTTGGAGAATATTTTGTGTTATTTATGAGCTAATGGAGCTATTTATACATGTAATGTGCAACCTAATTAGCGGTGTGGGGTTTAATACCATTTCAATTGCAAAAATAAGTCTCTTTTGCGAAGGTACCACTTTTGTTCCTTAGGTACCACATTTTTGAACTGAAGGTACCACGTTTTAATTTGGCTCACACTTCTTACACTTGCATTTTCGAGTTCCTTGCCTTCTTTAAGAGAAAGTATATCAAAACAATCCCCACACATAAGTGGGTCTTCTTTTTTGATTTTGCAGCTTCTTTTGGTTTGAAATTGAATATTAGTAGTTTCCATCTAAGAGTTGCAGCAAAATAAAAAGTAATTAGATTATTCTCATAACTCCAATATGTAGCATCCTAAAAGCCATTTAGGGACGGACAAATTAGGACGAAATGTTATTTCGTTCCCAAATACTTATTCGGGGACAGATAATTATTTTGTCGGGACATAAAATTGCCTTCTCCCTTTTTTATTTTTTTATTATTTTGGTAAAATGTGCACCTGTTTTTTCTGCTATTTCCATTTGTGTTTCATCCATTAAAAATATTAAGAAACTGAATTTCATGTCAACACAAGTAAAAAAACTAAATTTTAATGGCCATTACTTAAAAAACACTATACAAATCCCATTTACATCAATTCCACTCGAACAAATACCAAATAATATAGTAACTAGACATCAATATTTGAATACATTCATCTAATAATAAAATATTAATCACCCATCTGTTGGTTAATGAGTTTTGGAGCAAACAGGCCAACCATCAGGCTGCCAAAGGGTCTATAAAGTTGCTGCCGCTGCAAAACGAGGTTTGATCTGCGCTAAATTGTATAGACATAAATTTAGAAGATAACCTTTGATACTCCAACATACTATTCACAGCTACCTTCAGTTCTATATAGACTCCCTCGTATCCAAGTTATCAAATGCCTCTGGTGATGATTAATTGGGTCACTATATTGTCCAGCATTATTAAACAAATGAATATACAACCATCAAATAGAATAAATGACTCCAAAGCTAAAATCCAGATACCAACATAATAGCAATGTAATCAGTATTTGAAAGTGATACACATATCTAACATATATGCTTGAATGCCAAAGTTATTGAAATGCCAAAGTCATTTAAATTTAGAATAGCAATGTAATGCAATATTTGAAAGTGATACTTTGGCAATTCGTTAGGCAATTCAAGGAATTAGTTGATACATATGCTATATAGATATTTCCTCCGTATTGCATGAGCAAGAAGCTTATATGTTAAACCATGTTTCAAGTCCAAAATCAATCAATGAACGAAATAGTTAACAGAACTATTCTGTATAATAAACTACATGCATTTGATTGACTATTTTCCTCAATAGTTTGAAAATAAGCTGAATGTCATTGTATATCTTAATTCTATTTTATGAATGAAAAAACTTATCTTTGCCAGAATAAAATAGAAAGCAAAACTAAAAAAGCTATTTTTCAATAATGATAAATTCTCTGATCTAGTCTTGAAGTTGGGAAGCAACTTTTCTTATGACTCGGGCTATTTTTCTTATGCTACTTGAGGACTAAAACATTGCCTCATAACCTGAAAAAGATAACGATGGGAATAATGACAATAAAAATTACTTAAACATATAGAAGTACCATTATCATTTATAGAATTTTCTGCAATCATAATCAACTAGAATGAACTAACAAGATCATTCACTCAAATGAAAATAATCAAACACACTAAAGTGACTAATAGAACACAAACCTCAATATTTTTGAAACAATTGGATTAACACAAGCACGTAGGTCACTACCTGTCCTCAATAAGAGAAGAGTGAAATATGTTTCTAGAGATGACATTCATTACTAATTAATATGACATCTTAAGCTAGTGAAAAAGTCCGTGTAATTTGGGTGGCTTTATTTAGCCAGTGAGCCCTTAGCCAATTAAACAATAACCTTTCACATCCCAATTTTACTAATTTACAAAGAGGTTTGGCAAATTTAAAGGAAAAGAAAAAACTTAAATTGATTATTATCCCTTTTTTATATTTTTTTTTCATCCCTACTTCAATAAAACTAATTTTAAAAATATAAATAAAATAAATGAAAAAAATAATAATAAAAAACCAAAATAACCCAATTACTTTCTATCAATTCTCTTTTTCCCTATTTCTTAATCATGATTTCAGAATAAAAAAATGATCTGCTTACTGTTTTTTTCTTTGTCACTAGATTAATCAATTGGTTAAATTAGGAGAAATTAAAGGTTGCAATGGTAGGAAATCAAACATTTAAGCTTTGAAAGGGCGTTCAAATTAAAGACACAAAATTGAAGACAAAAACAGAGACATATAAATACAAATACAAATACACACAAATCCTTTAAAAGTTTGGAAAGATTACCTTCAAAAGGTTGGAGAATCGATTTTTGCCGCCCTCTGTATTTTCTATCTAAACAAAACTTTCTCTTCTTTTTCACTGTAATTTGGGTGTGTATCAAAGCATCGAAAAAAAAAAAAAAAAAAATTGAAGGAGCTAGAGTTCAGAAAATACAAAATTATTTCAGAATAAACAAAGATTGCAAAACAATTTGATAGAAAAGAGATTAAAATACACAGTTTAGTAAGGAAATTGCTGCTAAGGTCCAGTTTTGGAAGAGCAACTACTCATCTTGTGCTGGAAGGTTACAACTTATAAAGTCTATCCCATTCTCAGTGCAAGTTTATTTGGCTTCCACCTTTATCCTCCCTAAGGTTGTCCTAAAGGAGATCACTTCAATTCATAGAAGATTTATGTGGAAATGACAAACTTTGAGTAATGGAGGGAATAAAGTTGCTTTGAAGGATCTTTGTTTACCTAAATCTGAAGGAGGGTTCTGCATAAAAGTTTTGTAAAGTATGGTTGTTATGTCTAAGCATTTATGGAAAGTTGTGCAACCAAACTCTATCTGTGGGTTAATTGGGATCCGTCTCAACTAATTTTGGAATCTCAAAGTTCCATTTGACTGCTCTTGGAGCTGGAGAAATCTTCTGAGTCTGAAGTATAGTTTCAGATTTGATAGTCATCACCAAATGCGCAATGGAATGTTAACATCTCTATGGTATGATTGCTGGTTACCTATAGGCCCTATAAGTCTGCAATATCATCAAAGGATCGTTAGAAACTCTGGTTTGACAAGAGAACCAAAAGTTGCAGCTATCATTATAAATGCAGATTGGCACTGGCCCATGACTGA